TGTGTGGGTCACTTCCTGGCATGTTTGGGATCCACCTTAAATCACGCCATCGGCATTTTCTTCTACTCTGATTTCCTTTCACCTCCAACCAACACTTGCGAAACTAAACGGCGATAGGTAATGAATGGCGACAGGGTTTTTTTTTTTGGTTTTTTTGGTGAAAATGGAAGCTTTTAGTTCTGAACGGTGGAGGTGAATGTCATCATCAACATCATCATCATCCTAAAGAAAGCGATCAGCAAAGAAGAAATTAAATTCTTGGATACAAGATAAAGACGACTACAATTCAATAACGCTGCCTCTGAAGTTTTAATACATATTCAAATGATGTTAGCATTTCAACAATCAAATATATACACAGACACTATGGTGTGTAGGTGTGGCGTCTATACAACGAATGAAAGCAAAACATATTGCTACAGACATAAACACTAACGCCATAAGATATAAATGTCACTTCTATACAAGCAAGAAAAACAAAACACGATACATTTGAAAAATTGAAGAATAACTTCGTAAATTTCTAATTGCAAAATTATCAAATTACCCCAAACAAATAGCGAAATATGTTAAATTTATTAAGGTTTTCCGACTTGTTCCTTATTAGACCGTTCTAGAACGTGTTTCATTTCCTTCAACGAACACCTGTAACAGTACTGACCACCCCCACACACATATATATATGTGTGTGTGTGTGTATGTGCGTGTGTGGTGGGGGACATTGAAGTCAACACCCAGTGGCAACATTGTTTTCTCCTTATACGCAATCGTCAAGCTTCAATTTCCACTTTTATATTTTATCAAACGCGCGAGCAAACCCACACAGAAACATATATATATATATATATATATGTGTGTGTGTGAGAGAGAGAGAGAGAGAGTGTGTGTGTGTGTGTGTGTGTATTTAGGCAGCAAATCCTCTTTTAGGCATGTCAGATTAAATAAATTCCTAACATTATGTCTGCTTATTTTGATCGTAATTCATTCATATTCACAAGTATGTAACTGTAATATACGGAAAAGTATTCGTGAATATGAAGGGATTATGATAAAAATAACAGACATAATATTTGTAATTTATTCAGTCATATATATATATATATATGTGTGTGTGCGTGTGTGTGTGCCTGTGTCTCTGTGTATGTGTAAAGCTCCTTCATTTCACCAAAGTCGGTAGATCGTTGAACTATAGACGCCAGTGCGTTATTGGTTGCTGGGACCGGGCAATTTTTCGACTTGTCTCATGTGCTTGTCCTTGGTCTCTCCACTTTAAACTGGACTTGTGCCCTATCCCCACTCACCACCGTGTTGGGGCGCAAATAAATAACCAGTGAAGTATCTGTTCTGCTCCACTCTTACTGTAAAAATATCTATTCCTTCATTTAGTAACTTTCAGCTTTAATTGATCGAACAGTCAGTGCTACCGTCCGTTGAAATTTATCTGTTTTTCTCTATTAAAACAGATTTCTCAAATCCAGTAACTTTTATCGATCTTTCCTGTAGTGATGGGGGTTTCCTTCCTAACTTTTTGTTTGATATAGCGTGGAACGTTAACATCTTGATTATATCATTATTGTCTCTCTTACTTAAGTTCCCTACACCTTGCTTTAGTCGCTTGCTTGTTTTTGTTTAACAGCATATCAACACCTCTATGGGTTATTTAATGCCGAAATCTAAATACTTAGAAGGCTGTTTTATGGCTTCAACTTTATTTTGTACGTAATTTTATACTTTTAGGGCAAACGTATGATTTTTAGATATCTACTTTGTATATCATAAAATGTATAGCTGTTAATTTATCTTAAAAGTATATTGCTGGTAATTTTAATATAGAAATATATTTGTATACTTTTTAGTGTTATATTGATTGTCTTTTTACTGTAAAAATGTATTGTTTCTCTTTTTATTATAAAATATATTGTTGGTAACTCTACTGTAAAAAGTACTGTTGGTCATTTTGCTACGAAATGTATTGATGGTAATTTTATATATATATATATATAAATATGTATTGCCGTTAATTTCATTACAAAAATGTATTGATGATAATTTTTAATAAAAATATATTCCCGGTATCTTTACTTGGGAAACTTTGGGAGTCTACTATTTGTCTATAGCTTGGACCCCAACTGGTGCTACCACCCCGAGTCTTGGTGAACCTAGGAAGAAACGCAAATAAGAGGTTGTTTCCAAGTTCCTCAAAATTTCCAATCTCTCGATCAGAGGCCTTCCTGCTATATGTAGTTTATCGTCACTCGGATTCCTTTTATTTATTTTTGATATTAAAAGTTCTCAAGTTATATTTTTTCTGCTATTTAATACAGTTCTATACTTATGATTCTGTAACACCCGATATTCGAAAAAGGTGATCATCACTGAGAGCTACAATCTTCTTTCGTTCGAAGCTATTATTAACCATTTCGCTGAGAAAAATCTTATCTACAGATGATACTTTAAACATTTCTGAATAAGTTCAATACTCTAGAAAATCAAAGTTCTA